GAGAGAAAATGGAATTGATATGTGAATTTATAGACAATTTCTAAAGCTGATGTGCTATTTACCATATGCTGTTTCTCACCCTCAAAAGTAGCTTTTAATGTGGTTTTTGTTTGTTTTAATATTATAATTTTTTATTTTCCAGGCTGCAAACTATTGTACAAACAGGATTTTGCAAGACGTTTGGGATTGAGATGTGTTACTTGCAACTATTGCTCTCAGCTGTGTAAGAAGGGAGCCACAAAAGAAGTGGATGGTGTTGTGAGAGATTTCTGTAGCGAGGACTGCTGTAAAAAATTTCAGGATTGGTACTACAAGGCAAGTAACTAAAAATTTTTATTAAAATCACTACTTTAACCAGCTTTTAAAAAAACGTTATTGCCATGGTAACTTATTTATGTTAAAAAATGTACGCACATTAGGCTTAGCCTAATTATACAGTTCGTTAAACTTTTTCTCATTGTAGTTTGTTCTTTATAACTTTAAGTAGCATTTTTACTTGTTTTGTAACTTGGACATTACCCAAAACTAGGATATACCTGTATTTTCAGCATTGTTGCTTAACAAAATGGATTATTTCTTTCCAATTTGTTGTATTTTTATTTCACTAAATAGGAATATTTTTGATGACTACTTAATCAGTGTTGAACATTAGCAGGTAAATTGCTTTGGATACTTAAGTTTTGTTTTAAAACTCTTCTTTCTTGCCTTTTTACTTATGAGTCTGTGGAGAATTTCAAATTGAAAGGATGCTATGTGAATCAACAGAGACCAAAAACATTTAATTTATAACTGTAAATGTATGTGTTTGTATGTCTCATTAAAATATGTATCTACAAAAGTTAAGTCCCTTTTGGTGCATCGTAATGGTTTCTTTCTGGATAAGAAAAAGAGTGTAAATTTGGGCTTTGGTTAGTGAAGTATTGCCCAGGAAACAGTTATCTGTTCCTTGTTTTTAACATGGAAAAGTATCTCCATGCAAAAACTTCACTATGGATGTAGTTCTAAAGCATGTGAAGACAGACATCATCCTAACTTAAGAATTGCAAAATGACTACTAAAGAAACAAACGGTTAAATTATGTAGAATATTATTTAGTTCACTTAATGAAAGTGACTAGTGTTAAAATGACACTAAGACTTTACAAGAACTTTTGGTGAAGTTCTTGAATATCTAAAGCAATAAAAAGAGGAAGATACTTTCCAAGTTGTCAGAGGTTGTCGAGGCTAAGAGTTTCAGTACAGCTTTTAAGTTACTTATTATTTTATTGTTTCTTGTGACTAAGTCTTAGAATTGAGGTTCAAATTTTAGTAACACGCAGGACAGGCATAATGACACCTTTTAACATGGATTCTTTTCAGTCTAAACTGAGGTCCTATTCTGTTGTAGACAGAAATTTTGAGAAGTCACTCAGAAAATGTTACTTTAAGTGCTTAATTTTAGGTTAGCACAAAGATACCTTCTTCTCCAATGATTAGAAGGTTTTATTTTTGAAATTTTGTTTTGGAAAATCTCAAATAGTAAAGGTATTTAGTGGTTACAAATGCGGAAATTCTACTTTATTCTTACTACAGTATCTGTTACCCTTTTCATCATTAATTTTCTAGTTTGAGGCCAAATTATTGCCATGTGATGGTTTCCCCTTACTGTTTTATTAAAAATTTCTACTTAATTGTATAATTTTGAGTCAAAACTTTGTTTCTTAAAATAATCTTTCTTGGAGGATTTTCTTTCTGTTCCCAGCACACTGAATGTATTTCTTTGTTTGGCTTCTTTCTTTGAATGAATTCTTCCTGTTTTCTTTTGTATGATAATTGAAATAAAGAAATCTTTTGGTTTCTTTTCTTTTTTGGGAAGCAAGGACGTGTTTGGCAAAAGACCACACTATTCTAGGTGTTGCCATTTGTTCCATTTTGCTATTTATTTTAAAGAATAATTGTATCTAATGTTTTTATTTTATGCAGTGTTCCATGATAAATTTCAGTGAGGTGGTGCATTTTAGAACATATAAGATTATTATTACTGAAATAACAACGTATAATGATCTATGTATCAAACACATTTTTATTATTATTCCTTATAAATCCAACATTTAAGAACAATTTGTCTGTCACAAGGCAGCAGTTTGTAAAGCAAGTAACAATGAGGATTTTTCTATATAATCAGTAGGAATACAGTCCTAGAAAAGAAAATGGGGTTGCATCTCCTGCGTCATTGTTGGCCTCTCCAGAGGCAGCCAATACATTAATCAAAGAATAACTTTCTTCTGTGTGCTTTCTACTTGAGTCAAACTGTTTTCCTTTACCTTTCCCGAGTCCGTCCCATCTATTCACTGCTACCATGTCATCTTAAAAATGTGGTTAATTGAGTCCCAACCAAATTGTGATAATCCTCATGTGAGGATATTTTTTCCATTGATTTTTAAAGTGAGTGGAGAACAGGGTGGGAGAGAGTGAGGGGGGGGAAGAGAAAAAGATGTAAGAGAGACCCACATCTCTTGGTGCCTCCTGCATGCTCCCTGACCTAGGCCAGAGATCAAATTTGCAACCCATGTATGTGCCCTTGATTGGGAATCCAACTAGCAACCCTTTGGTGCAAAGGCCTGTACTCTAACCATTGAGCCCCACTGGCCAGGGCCTTCTTCCACCTTTTTTTTTTTTCTTAATCCTCATCCGAGGACATTTTTCCATTTTTTGTACAGATAGAGTGGGAGGGAGAGAGAGGAACAGAGAGAGAGGGAAATATCGATGTGAAAGGGACACATCGAGTGGCTGCCACCCGCACGACCAACCAGGGCCAGGGACAAACTACAACCGAGGTACATGCCCTTAGCGGGAACCGAACCCGGGTCTCTCAGGACCGCAGGCCGACGCTCTAACCGCTGAGCCAAACCGGCCAGGGCTTCTTCCACCTTTTTAATGTAAGAACTCAAAAATTTAGATTTTAGCTTACTGATGGCGTGACCCTTACTTTTACTAGGACAAAAAAACCCCTCCCAGTAAATAGTGCCTCATCAAGGAATCTTTGAAAATAGCAGCTAACCAATCCAGTTGTCAACTCACCTTCAGTCATGAGCATTTGCTACCTAAACAGAGAAATACGCATGTTGAATTTCCACTTTCTGTTGTCTTTGTGCTTCAATTCGAGAGACTACCTAGAATTTAGATAACTTTACATTTTTATTTTAATTTAATTTGAATACTTAATATACTTTAAAATTTTCTGCGCGCCTCCCACCCCCTTTTTCCACACTAACAAGACATTTTGAATGATCTATTTTTTTCTAGTCTATATAATGGTTTGTTTTGGGGTTAAATGGTGGTTTTTTACATACTGTCTCTTCTAGATTGGAATAGAAAATCTGTTGAAATTATGCAACGAAAACAAATGCTTAGAATAAAATTGTGTTTTTCTTCTCCTAGATTACTCTTTAGTAGGAAGTAGATTTTACTTTTCCTCAAAGTAACTGTTTTCAGGCATAATATGAAACCAAGTGGGAGCGTAGTTCTTTTGATCTCTGTAAGTTTAAAGTTTTTGGAGAAAAAAATTTAGTATTGTAGCCCTTGCTGGTTTGGCTCAGCGGTTAGAGCATCAGCCCATGGATCAGAGAGTCCCGGGTTCGGTTTCCGCTAGGGTCACATGCCTTGGTTGCAGTTTGACCCCGGTCCCTATTGGGGTCATGTGGGTGGCAACCAGTTGATGTATCTCTCTCACATCCATGTTTCTCTGTCTCTTTTCCTCCCTCTCTCCCTCCAGCTCCATCTGAAGATAAATGCAAAAATGTCCTCAGGTGAGGATAAAAAACAAAAAGGAATTTAGTATTGTAACTGAATAAATAGCCAGGTGGTTTGATATGTAGTGAAGATCATTCAAAAGGTCCACTGTTCGGTTTGGTTCAACGGTTAGAGCGTCGACCTGCGGTCCTGAGAGACCCGGGTTCAGTTCCCGCTAAGGGCACGTACCTCGGTTGCAGTTTGTCCCCAGCCCTGGTCGGTCGTGCGGGTGGCAGCCACTCGATGTGTTCCTTTCGCGTCGATGTTTCTCTCTCTCTCTCTCTCTCTCTCTCTCTCTCTCTCTCTCTCTCTGTTCCTCTCTCTCCCTCCCACTCTACCTGAACAAAAAAATGGGAAAATGTCCTCGGGTGAGGATAAAAAAAAAAAAAAAAAATCAAAAGGCCCACTGTTTTCCAAGAACACTACACAGTATTTCTTAATAGAATGAATAAGCTTTTCTTAAACTTTTACTTGAACTTACAGGTTTTTTTTATACAGGTTTTGATTGATTTGTTTTACAAATTAGTAGTGAGTGATGGCAATACTAAATTTTATTTTTTTCAAAATTTTTTTATCCTCACCCGAGGACATTTTTTCATTTTTTATTCAGATAGAGCCGGGTGGGGAGAGAGGAAGAGAGAGAGAGAGAGAAAGCGAGAGAGAGAAATATCGACGTGAAAGGGACACATCGAGTGGCTACCACCCGCACAACCAACCAGGGCCGGGGACAAACTGCAACTAATGTACGTGCCCTTAGCGGGAACTGAATCCATATCTCTTGGGACCGCAGGCGGATGCTCTAACCGCTGAACCAAACTGGCCAGGGCAATACTAAATTCTTTAATGCAAAGGTCCTGTAATAGTTTAACAGTGCAAGTTATGGGCTTTAATCAAATTAACATTTTAGTAAATCTTAGTTATTCAAGGATAACTGAATGAAAAATATTATTAGGCTTTAAAGTTTCTTTTTTTTTGTCTAAACTTCTAAAATAGCTGATTTTTTCCCCCCAGAAAAATTATATTTTGTTTTTGAAATTAATTTTAGAAAGGGAATATCTAATATTCTTGCTTTAATGTTGTGCTTTTTGGGTCATTGAATAATTCTTCTCACTTAATGCTTTGCATAATAACCAATCACCTATTCTTATCACTGCATTTTAAAAAACTGAATTGTATTCAGAAAGATACATTGGGGCGTTGTAAAGAATTTCTTTTAAAAATGACTGTAAAGTGCTCGCTTTGGCAGCACATATACTAACATTGGAATGATACAGAGAAGATTAGCACTGCCCCTGCGCAAGGATGACACGCAAATACATTTAAAAAAAAAAAAAAGACTGTAAAATCCACTGTTTCATTTATGTTCATGGTTTCCTCCCCCTGCCCTTCTGCCAAACTAGGTCTGGTGTAATGGGGAACAGTGGATGTATTATATATCAACCAAAAGTGAAGAGTTGAAACTGTCCAACAAATGTAATGTATTACATCAGTATAATATAGGCTGTAAATGACCTTTTGTCAATTATTAAAGACGAGATTCCTCTAGTAGCTGAGAGGTTGGACTAAGGTTTTTGAATTAAGAGTTTAGTACATGCCTTTTCCTTAGACTGTTTGAATCAGTGACTCTTTTTACCCCCAAAATATCAAATAGTCCCTGATTTTTCACAGTGACGGGAAAACCACTAAGATAAAATACCTTTAAAAAGAATATTTTTATTAATTTGTTTTTTGTTACAGATGTTTCTTTTTTTTCCCTCATTGATGCCCTCCGCCCCATCCCCTCCACCTTTTGCCCAGCTTTGTTCATTGGTTATGCATTCATGCATGTAAGTTCTGTGGTTTATCTCTCCCCTCTCAACACCCCTCTCCTGGGGTTTGTCAGTCTATATGCTACCTTCATGTCTGTGGTTCAGTTTTGTTCATCAGTTTGTTTAGTTCATTATATTCCACAAATAAGTGAGATCATGTGATATTTGTCTTTCTCTGATTGACTTGTTTCACTTAGCATAATAGTCTCCAGGTCCCTCCATGTCATCTCAAAGGGTAAGAGATCTTTCTTTCTTATAGCTGCATAGTATTCCATTGTGTACATGTACCACAGCTTTTTTATCCACTCATCTACTCATGGACACTTGGGTTGTTTCCAGATCTTAGCTATTGTAAATAGTGCTGCTGTGAACATAGGGGTACATATATTCTTTCTGATTGGTGTTTCAGGTTTCTTAGGAATATTGGTATATTCCTAGAGGTGGGATCACTGGGTCAAATGGCAGTTTAATTTTTAACTTTTTGAGGTAACACCATAGTGTTTTCAACAGTGGCTGCACCAGTCTGCATTCCCACCAGCAGTGTACTATAGAGTCCCCTTTACTCCACACTTGTTGTTTCATGGTTTGTTGATGGCGCCCATTCTGACAGGTGTGAAGTGATACCTCATAGTTGTTTTAATTTGTATCTCTCTGATGATTAGTGACGTTCAGCATTTTTTCATATCTCTTAGCCATTTGTATGTCCTGTTTGTTGTGGTGTCTATTTAGGTCCTCTATCCATTTTTTAATTGTGTTCTTTGTCTTCCTTTTGTTGAGCTGTATGAGTACTCTATATATTTTGGAAATTAATCCCTTATCTGATGCATCATTGGCCATTATGGTCTCTCATATGGTGGGTTCCCTTTTCATTTTAATGATTGTTTCTTTTGCTGAGCAAAAGCTTTTTAATTTGATGTCGTCCCATGTGTTCATTTTTTCCTTTGTTTTCTTGCTTAGGTGTGGTATCAAGATAAAGTACTTTTAAAAATGATTTTTTAAACAAGAGACCTAAATCACACTTTAGTTTTTGTGTTACAGAAATGTTAAGCTTTCCTCTCTTGTCGTTGGGGCAGAGTTGGTGTTGGTGTGGATAAGGAATGGCCATTAATGATGTTTTTAAATTAGCCATTCTATTTTTTGCTTAATTCTGAACACTTGACCTGGAGTGTACTTTAGTGACTGTAAAAGACAACAACAACAAAACGAGGTTCACCACCTTTACATTTTTGATTACGGCATTAAATTTGGAGTTAGTATTGAGTTCTGTTGTTATTCTTCTTTCCTGAAAAAATATATACCTATTTTGTTTCCATTTGAAAATTGGCATTCATCTCACTCTTTTTATTTTCTTTAGATAGGGAGAAATCATCTAAATTTGTTTTGAACCTTCTGGAAGAAAGGAGCGTCTATAATTAACAAAATAATGAAGTGATTTCATTGTTCAGATTCCTTGAGTGGAATGTTCTTGTTTTTTTGCCCCTGGCTTTCTAAATTATTGTATAAATGGCAATATTACCATATACTGAGAGTCAGTGAAATTTTTGGAATGTTTTATATGAATAGATTTAAATTTTGGATGCTGCATTGAGAACCTTCCTGCAACATTAACTTATTAGGATTTTGATTCTCTGGTTATTCATATTAACTCATTTTATCTTTCCATTGTTTTTATTACTTGGTGGATAGTCTGCTTTGAATCTTGTCTTTGTATTTTTAATATTTGGTCTTAGACAAGTTACTTTTCCTACTTGGATCTTAGTTTCCATTACTGTTGTGAGGATTATAGAGAGTATATAATATGGTGGCCTTTTATTTTTCAGAGTCTCAATGAATGAGGTAGTCTGCTACAACTTTTGTCATGTTCTTGCACTATTTAAACTCAACAAATAGAATGTTAGGCTTTCAGTTCCTTCCTTTGTTTTTTCTTTGAGTATAAAGTATAAAATGTGTGGGAAAATGAAGTCTGGAACACTTGAAGAGTTATTTTAAAGAATAGTCTTTGGGCCCTGGCTGTTTTGGCTCAGTGGTTGGAGCATTGGCCTGCGGACCAGAGAGTCCCGGGTTTGGTTCCTGCTAAGGGCTCGTACCCCTCCCCTCGTACCCCCCTCCCCCCCCAAAAGAATAGTCTTTAGCACTGGGCAGGTTGCTCAGTTGGTTAGAGCATTGTCCTAATATTCCAAGATTGCTTATTCCATCTCCAGTCAGGGCAAGTACAAGAAGCAACCAATGAATGCATGAATAAGTGGTACAAACTCTGCGTGCCTCTCTCTCTCTCGCTCCCTCTCACCTCTCTCTCTGGCTCCCCCCTCTCCCTCCTCCCCTTCTCTCCTTCCCTTCCCCTCTTTCTCTACCTCACCCTCTTTCTCTCCCCTTCCTGTCCCCCTTCCTTTCTTTGCTCTAAAATCAAGCAGTAAAAATGAACAGTCTTTGGCTGGTGAGAATGGTACATAGGGACCTTTTTTGTTATTGAGTAAAATATGACCTGGTTGATATAAAGTGCTAATGTTATTGAGATTACCACATAATACTACCAGCATTATAAAATTTGAGCTCAGAAATTTTTGGACAAGAGATGTGATATTGGCATCACTTAGTAGTCATAAATCATACTACAGATCTTCATTCATTTAACATTTATTCAGCAGGAGAAATACCTGACCTGGAGAAAAAAAAGAGCTGTGTTCTAACATTGGGGTATGTGTGTTATATAAGACCTGTTTACCAACAGAATCATTCGTTAATTCCTGGCTAGGAATTTTGACATAGTATTTATTCGTAGAATTCCTTTTGAGACATAACGTGAGAAATTTCAAAACCCACAGTGTTTAAATTCTGTAATTTAGAGTAATGAGGAAAAGCTGCAACCATGATTATGAACTACAAAATACTTAATATTTATTTTTTATCAAAACTTGAGTAGTTAGTTTAAACCAAAGGCTAATTTACAAAAATTACAGTAATTTATTTCTGCTCTAACTAGATCAGAAATTATAAAATTTCTTAATTATGAAAGTAGCTATTTGAAATAAATCATTTTAAACTTTTGGTTCACTCAATCATAATTTAAGTAAAAGGGAAAATGAGCAAAATCTAGGTGAAAGGGAGTCTCTAAAACAAAATTCTGTATCTAGATTATTAATTCACCATCATAAAGTATAACTTTTTATGTATGAATTTTAGTGGGTATCATTTTGCATATTAAATTATAGACCAATTGGGGGTGATTGTTTTCCTAAATGTAGTTCAAATTGGTTGTCTCAAAATATAATTGTTTTTTAATTAATTAAACATTGAGTATTTTAACAGATGAACTGGAAGTTCCTGTTATTAAAAATAAATCAGTGTATTTATTAAAGCTCTTCAAATTTATTAAACTGTTGCAAAATAAAAATACTTCAAGTTAACATTCATAATTTTCTCATCATAAGAGCTTGCTTCCAAATTATTCTGGTCTTGTACAACTTCTTTAAATTGATTTATTATCTGTTCATTAATCAGAGATTTCAATGTAATATGATTGTAGAGACTTCTACTAGTATATCATTATTCCCCTCAAAATTATTTTAAAATATTAAAATGCATTGTACCAATTTGGTTTACCATTGTTCACTCTTTTTGGTTATCATATCTTTGTAATGCTGGTCTTTGACTTTTGGTAAGTATATAAAAGGATTTTAACAATGAGAAAAATGTCTATTTCTTTTCACTTTTATTGTGGATTTTACTGCATATTTATGATTTATAATTTTTTTTTATCAGACATTGTTTTATCACATTTGGCAGTAATCACTGACAAAATTTTAGACATCTTTTAAAGTACATATCTGACTTTTTAAACCTTGTAATTTAAATCTCTGGTACCTTCCTTTTTTATTAAGGCTGCAAGGTGTGACTGTTGTAAATCTCAAGGGACTCTTAAAGAGCGTGTGCAGTGGCGTGGGGAAATGAAGCATTTCTGTGACCAGCATTGCTTATTGCGCTTCTATTGCCAGCAGAATGAGCCCAACATGACGACTCAGAAAGGACCTGAAAACTTGCATTATGGTATGTCATAACTTAGGGAGCAACTTGATAAACCTGTACTGTAGTCTTTAGTTTTTTAGATGAAAACAAATAGTTGATTTGGGAGGTAGTTTAACAATCACTTTAATAGTTTCTCTGGGTAGAAGTGTCCTGTGTGATGTTTCTATAGATATATTCTCTTTTTATTTTATTCTCTTTTAACATTTTTCAAAAATAAATGTTTTTATTGAGTTTCGGAGAGAGAGGAAGGGAGAGGGAGATAGAAACACCGGTGAGAAAGCAACATCAATAGGCTGCCTCCTGCACACCTCCACTAGCTACGGAGCCCGAAACCCAGGCATGTGCCCTGACTAGGAATTGAACTGGTGACCTCTTGGTGTAGGGGTCGACAGTCATGAGCCTCACCGGCCAGGCTCTATTTTAAAAAGTTAATGCTAGTTGAAGATAAAGTGTCTAGTTGGGGTCGGAGAGAAGCTAAAGAGAATTACAACAAAAATTCTAAAAAAT